CATGGTAAAAGAGTAGAAAATAACATAGGGAGTGAGTAACAGCATTGAAGTGGTAAATCTTAAGCAAACAGACTGGAGATACTAAGCAGTAAAAGGCTGGAGACAGCGCATACTTATATCAAAAACGGTAACGAAAACGTGTTCCCACGTGGTAAAATGTACGATTAGCTCGTTGACTTCTCCGTTAAAATGAAGCGGTGTTATAATACTATAATGTTATCCCAGAGAAACAAAGAAATAGGAAGCTTGGCAAGAGAAACAGACTAAATGGGTTACGATGGACCAAAATTAATATCTATCACTAAGCTCTACAACTGTTAAGCAACCAGTAAAACTAGAGATGCTAGCCGACCTTCATGAAAAATGCCCGAATCCATGACAAAGCAGTTATGGATAAGGAAAATAATGCAAATACGCGGTTAATTTTAACTGCTGCACGTAATAACACCTATTAATGAGTATTCGAGGCAGCTTCGGAAACTGTGCCGAATGGCATCTAAGTGGTTAGCTTGACACATACTTACCGGCCAAAATAATGAAAAATGCACTAAAATCGAATAAAACGGTAATAAGTTCGCACCCACTGTCTGGACAAAGAAACCAATCACAACATTAGAAAGTGCTTAAAAGTGGAAAACAAATGGTAGAAAGTAGTAGAAAAAACAGCCTTAGCTCTACTGAAAAGCGCTCTAAGCGAACCTACCGTTCATTTGTAAGTAGTCCAAGGGTATTTCACTCCTGAAGAACCAACAAGGTCTAGTGGAAAAATTTTGCTCAAATCGCCAACTGCCATACAGACACGTAAACAATTTGTGCCGTATTAAGCGCTGTATTCCTGCTCTGCACACAGATCGCAGGTTAGCCCAAACCGCACAAAAGGCGGCCAACTTTCTTAGACAACAATTTGGCCCGTATCTTCCAAAGCGTGCAACCATCATACATCCTGCCTAAGCAGATAACGCCGCCATCAGAGCTTAATCACCTATGGTTCACCTCCGCAGCTGTACTGAAGTGACTGATATCTCTGTGCGAGTTCAGCTCCCCGGGTGCGGACGGCATTCGCCTGAAGGCGTTGAAAGTTTCTGCCATGACTTTGTCAGGACCACTGGCAATTTTCTTTCGACGATGTCTGAACGAGATGCACGTCCCCACGATGTGGAAGCACGGAATCATCACGCCAATCTACATGAGTGTCAGGCGTGCTGAACTAGCAAACTATCGTTTGATAGCACTACTTCCTGTGATCTCCAAGTTTATAGAGTCCATCGTAGCTGTGGCCTTGATGGGGTATTTATAGAACAACAAAATTCTCGTTCCGGAGCAGCACGGATTTTGCTAAAATCACTCCTGTACCACTAATCTGTTGATTGCTCGTGCAAGCTGGACGGAATCCGTTGACGCTGGTGTAGGAGTCGACGCGGCCTACTTGGATTTCTCAAAGGCATTCGACCGTGTAGACCATCGCATTCTCCTCCACAAACTCCAGAAATATGGAATCTGCGATCCTGTTCTGGGCTGGATAGGAGACTTTCTCGTGCAACGTCACTTGAATGTGTGGGTTCGAAGCAACCTGTCGGAATCCATCGAAGTTCAGTGCGGCGTACCTCAAGGCTCGGTACTTGGACCCCGCCTTTTCCTGGTTTCCATAAATGATCTCGCGAGCGTGCTATCTTCTAACTGTTTGCTATTTGCTGATGACCTAAAGGTATGGCGTACTATAGTTGCAGTGGAGGATCACACAGTGTTACAGGAGGACCTGGACAAAATGTACATATGGTCCACCGAGAACATGCTGCACTTCAACGTTAACAAGTGCGAAGTTCTCAGCATACGGCGCAAGAGCATGCACAAATACCACCTAGGACCACAAATTCTACAGCGGCCTTGTCACAAGTGCGATCTCGGCGTGATAGTTCAAGATGACCTCGGTTGTTTGAGGCAGACTGAAAAGACAGCTAAGAAAGCGAACTAGTACCTCGACCTTCTTCGCAGAGCTTTCGGAAAGTTTGACCCTTCAGTCTTTCCAAATGCTTAGTGCGTACGTGAGGCCGCACGCGGAATACGCTATCCAAGCGTGGCAACCCTGGCTCAAGCACCATCTCACCGCGCTCGAAACTGCACAACGTAGGGCAACGAAGAGCGTCAGAGGTTTGACCAGTATCCTCTACCCACTCAGGCTGAAGACCCACAAAATATACAGTGGACGTTACCGGTGTCTGAGGGGCGATCTCATAATGGTGTACCAGATCCTGAGAAACCCCAACCACCCATGCCATTCCCTTCTAATACTCAGTCAAAACACCCCGCTAAGTGGTCACTAGTTTAATTTAGTCACGCAGTACAGCCGTCTGAAATGTCGGCGGAACTTTTCTCCCTTCGAGTGTCCCAGCCTTGGAACTCCCTCCCGGAACATGTAATTAATGCTCCCACCCTATCCCTTCTCAAAAACACCCTGACGATATCTGTTACACTTACACTACGTGCTATAGCACATGACCACCAGATGCTGTTTTCTATGCGACCCTAATGGTCCCTTGCGGAATACCGCCTCGCAGCATGTCGCACAATCCTTGCTCTGAACGGGATGTGATGGAGCTGACACAGGATGTCCTATCTGCTCTCTACCACTCCAATGAACTCCAATGCTGACACTAATGCATAACAGGCAGTGGTTAGTGCCATAACTCTACTCGAGAATGAGTCACTCCAAACCCCTTGCACGAAATTTAATAAACGCTATTACTATAGAAACTGGATTTCTGTATCCTATCGACCCAAGATAGTTGCGTACGAGTAAGCGTTGTCCTTGCTAACTTTCTTATTTTTTCTCAACTATTATGTGATCAATAACTACTCCCCTTATAGCTTTGTGTGCGTACATTTTCATTTCAAACTCCCTTTATACAGCAGTGCAGTTAAATCTGTAATCGCCCGAACTGACGACTCCATTATCTCTTGATCGATCTTTTGTTCACGCTAAACACCCTACGGGACATGTCAAGCACCTGCTTGTTCATTGTTCCCCCTGGTTAAGTCCATGTAAAATATTGCAAATTCTTGCGGTTGAAGATCCGAAATGTCTGATGCTAAGCCACTTCAATTGTTGCGCGCTGATTGGCTGCTCTCTGCCATCAAAGCGATAATCACACCTATGTGCCTGGTACGAGCTGGTATCTGGATGCTTTGCCTCGGTTGGTTCTCGTTCCGACTCGTGAGTTCAAATCGGTGCGTCAATTCGATACATACACACCTCAAGGCCACGGATCAGGGATGCTATGCAGACAGAGGCGCAAGCTATCGATCGCGCGCATGTAAACATAGGTAGAACACTGGTAGACCCTCAAGTATCGTAGGAGCTTCTTAGCCGAAGACTGTAGCATTGGTAGGTGATATTCGCCTGTAGCTGCCTTATACAGCTACGGATAGGAGCAGATGTGGATTTTTTAAAGTGTCATTAAATTGGGCTTCCAGAGGTAGTCAGAATTCGTGATGCAAGGATTCAACGCCAATGGATTTGCGTACGTGCGTTTCAGCAAAGAAAAATCAAAACTTAGAAGTGAACGAAAAATGGTATTCCGTGGTGCGAAAATTCAAGATGTATATATGTTGTTAAGAAGGGCACGTCGAGTCTGATCGAATAAGTGTTTGCGGCCGAGATTGCGATGAAAAATGAAGACAGGTTAGCTGGAAGTGCCAGAGAGTTATTTTAGTCCGACCGCATGCCACAGATTGTGCTTCGTAATTCATTCACATGAGGAGTGCTTCAAATTGACCCTACCTACGAGACAGGTGCTTGTGTAGTACAAGCACGCATAGTTCTGAGGTGTTATTTTCCGTTATAGGTGGTGAAGCTTCAGTTTAATGCGCAACGTAAAGCTTTTGGACTTGATTCTGCAACCCAGCATATTGAGTCATCCTTTCTAAGCTTACACAATTCGCTTAGTGATAAGCACGGGTTCTTAGCTGACAATTCCTTTACCAGGTGGGACAACTGAATCAGCAGCTCTATGACCCCCCAAAGCAGACCTTTGATATTTAAATTCGAACGTCGGTGCTAATACACAGCATACTAGGAGTACGTTGCATATGCGTCACGATATTTATTGTTCGTGAAGATTACATGTATCTGTAAGGTTCAAACCTATTATGAACTGATGAATGAGCCTTGCAGATGGCTCCGTGAGGTCGCGTTATTGATCGCATTGATGTTGGGAATCACGGATGGCGTGCGTCAATTGTGGTCCTACAACCGCCATTCAGCCTTCACCTACCTGCATTACATTCCAAGTGTCTGAGTGCCTTTCAAATCGTGTTTTCCTGTTGCTTTCTTCTTTGTTGCTCTACACTATCGGTGGCTTGTGTACCTGTGGAGATGTGGAATTCGGCACCTCTGTCCCTCACACCTCTGTAGTCGGCTCATGTTGGCCAAGGTGAACTTACGTTAGGTGATGCCGGTTACTTTTACCGGTCAGGGGAAAAGAGATATTCATTTTAAAGCGTTCATACATGGCATTTTTAATGGGACTGCGTACTTTGCACTGACAAGTATAAACAGTTGGCCGGTCGCAAGTGCCTTATCAATGATTACTTGATGAGGTGTGCCCCATACGATCAGGCCGCCATAGCTAATGTGATCTACATACCTGCGGAAGTTCACTGGTCACTTAATGGCCACACACATTATTCCCCGATTCCTCAAGCCCCTACATGTACCTAGATAATTGCTACTTCCCTCCTCCTACTCAATTTGTTCTATACAGTTTAGTGACAATCAACTCGCAGCTTGTTAGTTATTTTCACGGATGACATGTCAGACGGAAAATAATTCGGTTTATTTCATCTGTTGCGTGCTTTTTCTTTTTATCTTACTGTACAAGAATTTGACCTTCTTATCGGTGACCGTTTTTACCCGCAATTTTTCACTAATATCACCGTCAAAAATACTACCAGTACACTCTAGCGTCCTCATGAAGATGACTGCAGTATAAGAATGGGCTTACCTTCTCGACGACTTCTGCTCCTTCAAAGTCTGGCAGCAGCAATTCGCCGTTGTTCAACGAGCAGGTAAATCCCAACTGCAACCCAGTACTACACCGCTTACTGGGTTCTGGGAAACTGTACTGGAAGACGGATTGAATGCTTGGCAACTGGGCCTGGAAAGTAACCAAGACATGTGGTTCCCTTCTTGTGCATTTACCGTCCGGATTCGCATCACGCCTATCATTAATGTTCTTTGGAGATTCCATCATCGGATTTGGACGATAAGTACACTGGTACGTGATCCGAGTTATCCGCAGTAGGAATAAGTTTCGATCATGGCTTATGGGAAGCTGGTGAGACTGAGGGTGAAAATCACATAAGGAGAGGTGTTTAGTACTTATGAAAGAGAATTTACAAGTGATTCACACCATGACTAAAATCACAAGGCTCATATGCTGCTAATGATAATAATACTTATATTTCTGCTGATGGGAGAAAGTGTGTGCAGCGGCACAGATCTATTTGTACGTAACTGGCCATGCAACAGCACGGGCGATATGCACCGGTGGAATATTGGAGTCTGCGTTTCATGTAGTCGCCTTCTGGTGGATGCTTGAACTAAAGGCCTAGTTTTGAAAATGTAGTGTTTAGATCTTTTGGGCGCCTCTAGTAATACCTCATCGGGGAATCTTTCCTATGTAAATATAGAGATTATGGTATTTAGATCAAGGTAACCGGGGAGTCTGCTTCTAAGTGTTGCCACGTTGTCACATGACCTAAATGTAATTGGTAGTTTATTCCACAGATAGCTATATCTTACCAAGAAGCAACTAAATCGAACGTTCGCTCTAGCCTTCGGTATAATCGGTCTAAAAACTTTTTCCGAGGCTCTCGAGTTGAGCTATTTTGTGGTTCAAGTGTATATAGGTTGGAAGAAGTCTTTTCGTGCGGCAGGTTGAAAATCAGCAACAAGTTATGCTTCAGTCGTTGAATTCAAAGTGGTTTGATTTGAAATTTTTTGTAACCGTCTCAATATTCCATGGCAGATTGCTTACCAATCAGATGTTTCGTAAACAAACTCTGCAGGTGCTCCACAGCAATTCTGTCACTCGTTCTCATATCACTGTATATTATGCTGCAGTATTCGAGGATGGTGTGGGTGGGTAGCTTAAAGAGCCCCACACAAACATGGGTTGTGTAGATTTTGTTGTATATATTGTACAGATTGTCTGACACGTCCTACTTGGTATGGGGCCTGTTCGGATATATTGAAGGTAGATGAGTACCTGATTCCCAAATTACGCATGGACTACGGTTTAGGGACGTCTTCATTGTCTAGTGTGATAGATCCTTCAGGATGGGATAGAAGTAAGACCATATGCTTAATTTCTTAGCCGAGAGGTTCATCATACACTTGTGGCAACTTAATGCTCTTATTTCTAAATGAGCACCATTCACGGTTATTCGCATCAACCTTAATTACACTGCGCAACAAAAAATTATTTTCCATAACAAAAATGCCAATGTCCCTACCTTATAGAATACACTCCACTGACTAGAAGTATATTCCGATGTTACCTTACACGTCTGGTTACATTGTTATGAACAAATGATTATCTTCAATGATGTCAAGGCTAAGTCTTACGAATTGTTTGTAATGGTACTAAGGCACAACATAAAAAAGAAGGAATCTACGTGGCACATACGTTTAAAGATCACTACCACACTCTCGCTTAACTGCTAACTGAAGCGTGACACTGGAAGATGATGACTTCGCCGAGAACATCGCTTATATGTTCCAGTGCCCTCAATCTGCAGAGACCAGTAATAGTCAACCACCACAGAACGCGTGCACTTGCCACTAGCGCAGCTCCATGACTGAAATGTCTTCGTGAAAGCGCTCAACATGGCCAAAACTAACAGATCCCAACTTCTTAGGTAAAACTTAATGTGATTATACAAAAAGTGCATCGAGCGACATTCGAATACCAATGGTTTGATAGTCCGCAAGAATCTTATTTCTGATGTCTTTGTAGTTCTCTGTCTTTATTCTGCCCAGAAGTTCTGTACACACTGCTTTAAGTGATCTTCACACTTCTAGCTCAGATGAAGTCAGCGGGCATTCAAAAGTACTGTCTGTCATCATCCGGCGAATACTAGGCTCAGTAAGTATCCATTCTTTGAGCTTCACATCAATGCTCTTCGGAAACAATCGTTGCAGGTACTGAAATGCAAAACTATTTCGCTTGAGGGCTTTGACGAAGTTTGATATCAAACCAAGCTTGATGTGCAGGAGTGATAGATAGATAGATAGATAGGATCAGATTACACAAAAGGTGTATGCTTCATTCTTATTTTCCCTGCAGCATAGTTCGGACGCTCTGGCTACTTTCGGTTGTGAAGTGCTGTTGCGTTGTTCTACTGTCTCATAAGCACAAAAGCAATATTTTGTAAAGCCACTTTGTATAGCAATTAAAAGTCAAATGGTTTTGTAATCAACACAGATGTTCCAGCAGTACTTATCGTTGTTCAGTGCAGAGAGCATCTGTTTCATACTTCCGTAAATCCCCTTCACAGGGGTAGTATGTAACTTAGGTGCAGTTGACTACACATTTCCATTGTGGAGAAGTATGGCCTTAAGGATACTATTGGACAAATCAATGAACAAGCGCCATTCATCACCGATGTGCCTCACGCCAAGCTCCTTCATTAGTGCTTCCACGTCGAAACAGTAACAAAAAGTTTATCTCGTGTCATACAAACAGGACAATGAAAACATTGGCTTTCTGTATAGAATAACCTTAGTGTTTGCAGCAAGTAAGAGCAACTGCTGCAGACGACATGACAGCAATCCGGCCTTGTCAAAAGGCGAGCCAATGACATGTACCAAGTAATACAGCTTTGATGGTTCAAAAAGATGTGGGTTTAAAAAGCAGGCTAAAAGTTTTCACAGATGCAAAAATCAAGCTAAATTGACGACAAGAAATCATTACACATCAAGAGTGATATGTATATAAGAGGCAACGGAGTGGGTGTGTTGCAATCACGAGGAACAGAGCAAATAACTGATGGAAGCTCGGAGTAATGCATTTTGTCTCAGCGGTTAAAATAACATCCAAATGGTCCCGAGTTCGTTGCCTGTTAACTCCATTAGATGAGATGTAATAACATCGAAACGCGTCATAGTAGTGCAGTGTTTTCGGGCGAGCAACACCCAATTTCTATTTGCATCAGCTACGGTCCTCGTGATCGAAAGACCAAGGTTCACTTTAATGGGAATCGCGGTCAACCTTGAGATTGCGCGTCGCAATGCATCCACACAACGTGTACTTCAAAATGACCCTAAACATTGGTCATTAGACCGTTGTGCCAAGCGCTGCTTGTCGTGACCTGGTGGCTTAGAGGTTGCGGTCACAAGTAACATCCCAATGGTCTCGTGTTTTATGCATGCTAACTCTATCTGATGAGATGTAATGACATCGAAACGCCTTATAGTAGTGCAGTGTTTTTGGGCGAGCAACACCCAAATTCAATTTGCACCAGCTACGGTCTTCGTGATCGAGATACCAAGATTCACTTCAATGGGAATCGCGGTCAACATTGAGATTGCGCGTCGCAATCCATCCACACAAAGTGTACTTCAAAATGACCCTAAACATCGTTCATTAACACCGTTGTGCCAAGCTGTGCTCTGTGTGGTCCGCTGACATAGGAGTAGTGGTCACGACTAACATCCTAAAGGTCTCGCGTCCGAAGCCTGCTCACTCTACTTGACGTGATAACCGAAACGTGTCATATTAGTGCAGTGTTTTCGGGCAGGCAACACCTAATAGCTATTTGAATTTTGTCCATGTTTCTTTTGGAGATATTTATTGACAATATTTGGTTACAATTAGCATTCTTTCTTGTGATCTTGCGGCACGTTCTACTCCATGGAGATTTCCAGATTCATCTTGCTTTTGCAATTGAGCCACCGAGTTAGATGCGATTTGCACGACACACAAACAATATGCGGCGCCCTTTTCCTATTCTGATCTCCCCTTTTCGTCCCGAAACATGCGTGGTAACCGGGCTTCAGTAGTTAAGAAATGGGTCCATACTGCTACGGTCCACAGTCGCAATAAAAATGATTTTGTCATTGACACAGCAGAGTCTTTCAGTCATGATCAAGATATCATTTAAGGAAACAGAGCTCTCAAACGACTTCCAGGATGAGGTGGATGCCATGGCTAAGCGAACTTCTTTTCCACGATTATGGTGGGCCGATGCACCAACCAAAGTGACGCAAAAGTTCCATATGTCACGTTCCCAAACCCAGACAAAAGTAAGAAGGCTTCGTAGCAGTAGGGGATATCAGGGAATCCGAATTTAAGCACAGATTACAGTATTCCAACTTGGCCAGAAAAGAACCATCCCATTTAGTTGATCAGAGCGTATATGTCCGATTGCTCAAATTCAGCATTACTGATGGAATCCAGTTTTACAAGCGATCTGAATCGGAGAATTGCACGGCTGTGAAAGATAATGCGAAATGTTTGTTGAACAATTCGCACAACTGAATCGGTTCTGCAGAAAGGCTGTTGTCGGGAAGTATTGTGTATGGTGCAACCTCATTCTTGAAGTTGCTTCTCAGTTAAAATAACAATCATTTATTTTAGTTTATTTCAGGAGACTAGAGTCTCAGTGTCATCTATAGGAAGTTCTGGGGATGACTTCGCTTCGAGGAATAACATTAGTTGATGTCGCAGATGATCGGACGACGAATTAGATAGTGGGTTAGTTAAGTGGAAGAGTGATACGGTGATAAAAAAACCAGGTGTCCAACAACAGTCACTCTCTCACTTTCTAAAATCCCTCACGACTCTTTCACGTAAATTTGGTCTATCGTGTAAACCAGGGAGTTCATTGTTTTCCAGCTGTTTCAGCGAGTAGGATTACTAAAAGTTTTTACGAATGCTTTGGTGTTCTTTATCCCGGTAGCCTGGTTGTTGGCAGATTTCTCTCTCATACCACGCGTGTTTACGGGTGTTATGCGATGATATTTTTCCCCAAGTGTTTCAGGCGAGTAAGGAGTAAACATTTCAGGTGAACCAGGATAGAACAAAAGAGTATGCACGGACAGGATGGTTACTTGGAATGGTTGATTTAACTGCTAATCATGCGCTTGCGAAAGCAGCGAGATGAAACAGGTTATTAAGAATGTGGTGGCCTAGACAAAATCTATGGCGCTCCAGGAAAGAATATTGGAAGCAGATAAACAAGACGTACTGTTACCCATTACACACAAAATGTGTCTCTCAAATCACTGCTCCCGCAGATTTGGCTAGAGCCAGATATAGCGAAACTAATTGGACATCAA